GAGGGTGAAAGATGCAGTCCATGGGAGGAGCAGCTGGTCAAGAGGGTGGTGCTGGAGGAGGGACTATAGAGGTGCCAGCAGGCTCAGGTAGCTGACTCATAATTTCATCAAAAAAGATGGGAGAAGAGTTTGAGGTGTCACCTTGAAATCTCTCAGATTCAGTAGGGCCAGCCCCATTGATTGAGGCATCCCTATTCTCCATTCTTGAATGAGAATTTGCAGACCCAGCATGCCTATCCCCTACTTCCCTACCAAAAAAACATTAGCTTCTACAAGGATAATTAGCAAAAATACCATCTGATAGTGCAATGTTTTGCTTCCTATCGAAGAGGGGCCTTCATATGCTTCCAGCAATGGTGGGGAAACAAGCCATTGTGATTTGGGGGCTCTCCCTTCCACTGTGCTTTTAATGGCTCCAAGACTCGTGACATGGGAAGAAAACAGTTTCTACTGTGACTTTTGTATCTAAGTTTGCCAAGTCAAATAGCTTTGATTCGCAACATTGCAATGCCTCCTTTTTGAGTCAGAGATTTTGCTTTATGCAGCAGTAGAAAAGCATGGTGGTCTGCCATAATGGCCAGATGTCATGCACTGGCAGCTGCGGTGTGGCTGGAGGCTGTCAGGACCAGCTTCTGTTTTTTTCTAAATTTTGTTCCTCTAGTTTCCCGGGCAACGCTGGGTAAGTCCAGCTAGTTTACTATACACAAGACTTAACATAGGAACTCATGTTCCCTTTTCTTAAATAATAAGCATTATTTTCTTGTGACACAAATCAAGAAAAATTAGAGATTACAACTTTTTTTTAAAAAATGTCTCTGTAGAAAAACATGTCTAAGTCTATTCATAGGAAAAATAAGGTTATTTTCAGATGACTGTTTTACACCTTTGGACTACTACTCATCAACTTTAACTATTAATCGAAGTTTTCTGTGGAATACTAATAGAAAAGTGTGCATTTGGGAGGGTGTATTTACTTTTCAATTAAGCTGGAAGCTAGCCCATAACAGTTTTGCAGTCAAGGATCAAAGTACATCAGTTGCTATTTTAAGGTCAGACTTTTTTCCAGTTCACAGCCAACTGCCCGACCCTGAAACCTCAACCAAGAATCAGA